CTTCCCTCCCAGCCATGGCTGCAGCCCCAGCTTCATCCTGGAAGGACATCCAGAAGGACGTCCAGTCTAATTTGCATATTATGCTTTTATTATTATAGATATACATAACATAAAATTTACTATTTTAGCCATTTCTAAGTGTACAGTTCAGTATTGTTAGGTAAATTCATATTGTTGTACAAACATCACCATCCATCTTCTTAATATTTTTCATCTTGTAAAACTGAAACTCTGTACCTGTTAAACACTGACGCTCCCCCTGGCTGTTATGGCTCAGTGGTTGAGCATCGACCCACGAACCAAGAGGTTGCTGGTTTGATTCCTAGTCAGGGCACATACCCGGGTTTCAGGCTCATTCCCGAGTATGGAATGTGCAGGAGGCAGCTGATTGATGTTTCTCTTCTCTTGCATCCATGTTTCTATCTCTCCCTCTCCCTTCCTCTCTCTCAAACAAACACACCCCAAAACAGTGACTCTCTATTCAGTATTTAACCTTTTTTCACTTACCATAATGTATTCAAGGTTCATCTATGTTGTAGCATGTGTCAGAATTTCCTTCTTTTTTAAGGTTGAATAATAATCTATTATATGAATATTCTATATTTTGTTGATTCATTCATAGATGATTGCTTCTTAACTTTTGGTTGTCAGTAATGCTGCTATAAGATGGTGTTACTTTTTAAATTTTGGTTTCCAATTGTTTGTTGCTAGTATATATGATTTTTTTATATTGATATTGAATCCTGCCAGCTTGCTAACCTGACTTATTCTAGTAGCTTTTTTGTAGCTTCCATTGGATTTTATATATAGACTGTGATGTCATCTGCTAATAAAGACAGTTTTACTTCTTCCTTTGTAATCTTTATGCCTAATTATATCCTCTAGTATAATGTTGAATAGAACATTAGATTTCCTGGTCCTGATCTTCAGGGAAAAGCATTCAGTCTTTCCCAATTACTCATGATGTCAGCTGTCGGTTTTTCATTGACCTTGATCAGGTGAAGGAGCTCACTTCTATTCCTGAGATTTTTTAATAGGAATGGATGTTGGATTTTGTCAAATGCTTTTTTGTGTGTTTATCAAAATGATCTATTTTAGGTTTCTAAAATGTTGAATTACATTGATAGATTTTTAAATGTTATAACAACCTTACATTCCTGAGACAAACTCCACTTGGTCGCGATGTGTTATTTTTTATATATATTGTTGAATTCTGTTTGCTAAGTACGTATTTGTTAAGAATTTTTGCATCTATGTTTATGAAGATAGTTTTTTTGTAATGTCTACAGGATTTATAATATACATCTTTAACTTATTATAGTGTGCCTCCAAGTGATATTAGTAGTATATTTTTATTTCTCTCCTTTCTTTGTGCTGTTATTGTTAAAAATTATACATGTTATAAACACCATACTACATTGATATTATTTTTGTTTGAACAGTCAATTTATCTTTTAAAGTAATTAAACAATAAGAAAAATATCTTAACTATTTACCCATGTAGTTGCTATTTCCAATGCTGCTCATTTCTTTGCAGAGATCCATATTTCTACATGGTATTATTTTCCTTTATCTGAAGGACCTTAACATTTACTGTAGTGTAGGTTTGTCTGCTGATGCTAACCTGACTTATTCTAGTAGCTTTTTTGTAGCTTCCATTGGATTTTATATATAGACTGTGATGTCATCTGCTAATAAAGACAGTTTTACTTCTTCCTTTGTAATCTTTATGCCTAATTATATCCTCTAGTATAATGTTGAATAGAACATTAGAATTCTTTCAGCTTTTATATGTTTAAAAAGTTTATTTAGCCTTTATTTTAAAAATATATTTTGACTTTCTGATCTGCCATCTGCGGTGGAATCAAGGCCAAGATGCAGATTTTCATGAAAACCCTTATGGGGAAGAACATCACTCTCGAGGTTGAATCCTTGGACACAATAAAAAAGGTAAAGGCCAAGATCCAGAATAAGGAAGGAATTCCTCCTGATCAGCAAAGACTGATCTTTGCTGGCAAGCAACTGGAAGATGGATATTCTTTGTCTGACTACAACATTCCAAAGGAGTCTACTCTTCATCTTGTGTTGAAACTTCGTAGTCGTGCTAAGACAAGGAAGAGGAAGTCTTAAACATCACTCCCCAGAAGAATGAACATAAGAGAAAAAAGGTCAAGCTGGCTGTCCTGAAGTACTACCAAGTGGATGAGAATGGCAAAATCAGTTGCCTTCGTTGGGAGTGCTGTTTAGATGAATGCTGGAGTTTTTATGGCCAGCCACTTTGACAGACATTGTGGCAAATGTTGTCTGAACTATTGCTTCAACAAACCAGAAGACAAGTGATTGTATATGGGTTAATAAAAGACATGAACTAACAACAACAAAAAAATTTCCATTGAAATAGAATTCTAGTTAATTTTTTCTTTCAGTACTTTAATGATGTTGTACCATTGTCTTCTCATTTCTATTGTTTCTGCAAGAAATGTGCTGTCATCTTTATCTTTCTTTCTCTCTTTTTTAAAAAATATATACTTTGTTGGTTTTTTACAGAGAGGAAGGGAGAGGGATAGAGAGTTAGAAACATCAATGAGAGAGAAACATCAATCAGCTGCTTCCTGCACACCCTCTACTGGGGATGTGCCCGCAACCAAGGTACACGCCATGCCCTTGACCGGAATCGAACCTGGGACCTTTCAGTCCGCAGGCTGACGCTCTATCCACTGAGCCAAACCGGTTAGGGCTATCTTTCTTTCTCTTTATGCTACGTTTCTCCCTCGCCTTCCCCAACTACTTTTTAAGATTTTCACTTTATCACTGATTTTGAGCAGTTTGATTATGATATGTGTTTGTGTAGTTTCCTTCATGTGCCTTGTAATTGGAGTTCACTGAACTTCTTGAGTCTGAGGGCTTAGTTTTCATCAAATTTGGAAAATTTCAGCCATAAATCCTTCAAATATTTTTTCTGTTCCCAATTTTCTCTCTTCTTTCTTTAAGCACTCTAATTATATGTACGTTAGGCCACTTGAAATTGTCCCACTGTCCATGGATGCTTTGTTCATTTAAAAAGGAATCTCTTTTTTCCTCTTTGTTTCATTTTGGAATTTCTAGTACTATGTCTTCAAGTTTTTCTTCTGCAGTGTCTAATCTGCCTCTGATTCCATTCAGTTTATATTTTCATCTCATAATGGGTAGTTCTTATTCTAGAAGTTCAATTATAGTCTTTTTAAAAATATGGTTATAATAATTGTTTTAATGTCTTTGTCTACTAATTCTAACGTGTGTCAGTTTTGGGTTGGTTTTGATTGATTGCCTTTTTTCCTTATTATGGATTATAGGTTTTTGTATGCCTAGTAATTTTTTATTGGATGCCAGACGGTGTGAATGTTCTTGTTGATTGCTGTGTATTAAATATTCTTGAGCTTTGTTCAGGGATATAGTTAAGTGACTTGGAAATAGTGTGATCCTCTTGGGTCTTGTTTTTAAGATTTGTTAAGTGGGACCAGAGCTGTGCTCAGTCTAGGGCTAATAATTCCCCACTGCTGAGGCAAGACCCATTTGTATATTTTACTCAATGCCTAGCTTTTCCAACCTGTTAGGAATAGGCACTTCTCCCAGACTTGTGTGTACCAGGCACTGTTACTTCTATCCTTTTGAGTGTTTTTCCTCCCAGCCTTGGGTAGTTTCTGCACATTCATGTGATGATCAGAACTCAGCTGAATATTTGAGGGGGCCCTTTAGAGACCTTTATAGTGCCCTCTCTTTTCTGATGATCTGTTCTGTGAACTCTGGCCGCATGATTATCCCCGCACTCAGCTCCATCTCCACAACTAAGGGAGTCTTTTGGAGTCTGACTGGTTCCCTTCCCTGGGCTGTAGTTTGGAAACCCAACTGTAGGGCTGAGGTCCTTTGTTTCCTGTCTCATGGGTATCACTGTCTTTGTTTCCTGAGATCTGATATCTTTAAAACCATTTTGTATATTTTATCTATTTTTCTGTTATTGTTATTTCAGTCAGGAAATTAAATCTGATCTCTATTATTCCATCTTGGTCCAAGATGAGGATTTGACTTTAATTCCCTCATTCCCACCTTTCCACCTTTTAATGCTGCCCATCTTTCAGTCCATCCACTCTAGGTACATCTCATTTTTTTTTTCCTTCACTCTACTGTCCGAGTTTACATTGTTATGGTATAATAAACTATGATGACTTTTCCTTTCCTGCACCACTTTTTGCTCTCCCTGGAGTTGGTTTTTCTGTTTGCTTAGTTTTCTATGTATCTTTCAATGAGTCGAACTCTCCAGTCACTGTCTAAATTTATCAAGATGTTATTTTCCACTCGGTATTCTATCAGAGCCATCTTTCTGAAGAGGTTTCAGGGCCTTGTGTCCTGGAGCAGCATGGACTGGTTGCTTTCTATCACGATGCTTAGCTGTCCTCTTGGGATCTCTCTCCAGCATCCTGGGCATTTCCTTCCCAGCCCTTCTGTGTTGGGATCTTCTGTTTCCTGTATCTTGTGTCTTCTCCTTTGTTGGTTTACTCAGTAGTTTTAGTAGAGCACATCCTCTCAACTGTCACAGGCCCATCAGCTTTCCAGCTTCCAAAGTTTTGTTGTGGGTTGTCTCTACTGTTCTTATCCTTGGGGACTTCTGCCATTCAAAACTTTCTCCTTTTTAAATTGTAATATTGGTAGAGTTTTGGGAAGGAGTGAAATTATGTGCATGTTTGCAATCTACAGTCTTCTCTACAGTGGTTCTCAACCTTCTGGCCCTTTAAATACAGTTCCTCATGTTGTGACCCAACCATAAAATTATTTTCGTTGCTCCTTCATAACTGTAATGTTGCTACTGTTATGAATCGTAACGTAAATATCTGATATGCAGGATGGTCTTAGGCGACCCCTGTGAAAGGGTTGTTCAACCACCAAAGGGGTCGCGACCCACAGGTTGAGAACCGCTGTCTTAGAACGTTTATCCCCTCTTTAACCTTAGAGAATCCATGAATTCATTCAGTATCTAGCGTACATTTAATGAATAAGACCCCGGCTCTATCCACCATGGGCCTGCATCCTTGAGCCAAGCAATGTAGTACAGAATTCTGGCTTCATTTCTTACTTTCTGGGTGATCATGGCCACCTCTTCAGAGCTAGTTTTCTTATCTGTAAAATGGGAATAATGTAGTAAGGGGTGGGGGTTTAAATCGGCCAATGAAAATAAAGCTTTTAGTAAAGAACCTGCACATAACCTGGGTTTTCTTGAGAGCCCAGACTGTGACTTCTCCTTTATACTTCCCCCAAATCCTAGCCCAAGGTGAAAACATAGTAGGTATATGAGTGACTGAGGAGGGGTGTAGGGTGAGAGGTTTGGCCTGGTCTCTCCTTTAAGCAGTTGTACCTCCTGAGGAACCTGAAGCCAAGGGCCTCAGCAGGTATGAGAACACTGGGTTCTTCTTATCTCTGCCTTTCCTCTGTGTGCTGTCTCCTAATGAGTCAGGTCTCCTCTCTGGGCCCCTGGCCTTTACTAGTCCCTGATCTTGGCAGGGCTGCTGCTCCTCCATGGTCAGAAGAGAATTACCATCACTCTCAATTGTTGGCCTCCCCCAGCTCCTGGAGATTCATTCCCTATGACAGGTTCTTAAGTGCCTTGGACCAGGCAAGTCCCTTCCAATTTAGGGTCTTGGTTTCTCTATTGCTAAAATGGGTGGGCAGGATATGGTGGGATTTATGGTATCTTAAATGTCTTGAAGTCCCTGACATCTCTCTCCCAGGTTCAGACCCTTCGTCTCCTGGGCCCGGCAGCCTGCTCTGCACTGGATGTACCTAGCTCCTGGGGTTCTGTTGTAACATGGGGATGAGCAGTCCCCCTCGCAGAGTAAATGATTTACAATACACAGCTCTGGCTTTCCCCACCCCACCTCCAGGGCCCAACAATAGGCCACTTCAGCTCTAGGCTCTCCCCAGGGGTGGGGGTGGGGTGAGGCCTGAGCCAGAATGCGGGTGACTAGCTGGGCGTCCTCTGCCCAGCCCTGGAAGAGCTCTGGGAGTGCCGGGCTGCTGGAACTACATCCTTCCCTTGCTCTGAGACACTGCCGGGCCTTGGTGCCATGCTGGTGTCTGGGCCAGAGGATTGGCATGGTGTGCAGAAGACCCAGGCAGCTGCAGGAATTTACCCGGTCACTTGAGTGGTGTTTGTGTTGCGGGGAGAGGAGTGCTTCAGGAATGCATTAGGGCTCTCAGTGTCCTGTCTCGGAGTGTCAGGATTGGCACGCCAGTCTCTAGCTGGTGGAGCATGAAACAGTTACAAAATACTTTCAAGGCCAAGTTGGTACATGCGGGGAGGTGTTGAATTCAGTGTTGGTCTGTGTCATGATGTTTAGTCAGATCCTTTCCTCTGTGAAGATCCTTACGCCTCTTTCTCCATTGTGGTCTAAGGAAATGAGGCATAGGAGGGTCCCTCTGTCGGATGTCTCTGCCTCTGCTTCTGTGCCCTGCCTTTCCTCCCTGTCACCCCCCTTTCCCCTTCGGGTCCCCCCCCTCCCTCTTTCCCCCTTGTCCCCTCTCTTCCTCTCCTCCCTGTCCCTTTCTCTCTCCTCCATTGAGAAGGCCTTCCTGAGAAGGGAAGGCCAATGCAAGACTCCCCTTCTGCCTGAGTGACCGGCCATGTTGTCCCTGGGGCTGAAGTGGCTTTGTGGGAGCAAAGTAGCTTAGTGGGCCTGGGACAGGAGGGGCTGTAATGAGTTTGGCAGCCCCTCTTTCCATGAAGGTGCTTGCTTTACTGGATTTGAAAACATGGAGACATTTGAAGGGAAATGGTAAGAGATGGAGTTGGACAAATAGACAAGGAGTGGATCCTGAAGGGCCTTGTATTTGGTTCAATGAGGAGCTACAGAAGGCTTTAAGCAGGGAAGGGACTTCAGATCTGTGCTCAGATGACAATAATAACAATAGGCAACTGTGTGCCAGGTGCTGTGCTAAGTATGCCATTCATGATCTCATTGAATCTACACTCTATAAAGGAGGTATTATTTATCCCCATTTTACAGATGAGGAAATTGAGGCTTAGAGGTTAAGTCATTTGCCCAAAAGTTGCCCAACTAGAAAGTGACAGAGCCAGGATTTCAGCCCAGGCCTGCCTGCATTTTGATCCCAGTGGTATTGATGGGAGGAATCATAAAGAGGCAGAAACAACAAGATTTTGTGGCCTGCCTAGGGAAGGTAGGATGGCTGTGGGGGGCAGGGGTGAGGTTTCTAGCTTGGGTGGCTGGTGTTGGCTTGTGATTTTCAATCAGGATACAGGGGCACCCATGAGCTAGGTTTAAATGGTTCATGATGAGCTCAGAATTAGTGGTACCTACCTACGCGTCCTCCTGGTGGGGCTGTCCTGTAATGTGTAGAAATGTGGGTCTAGAGCAGCGGTTCTCAACCTGTGGGTCGCGACCCCTTTGGGGGTCGAACGACCCTTTCACAGGGGTTGCCTAAGACCATCGGAAAACACATATATAATTACATGTTGTTTTTGAGATTAATCACTATGCTTTAGTTATGTTCAATTTGTAACAATGAAATTGGGGGTCACCACAACATGAGGAACTGCATTAGGAAGGTTGAGAACCACTGGTCTAGGGCTTCAGGAACTCGGGAACGGAGACAGATAGCTCATGGTGGTAATTGGAGTTCTAGGAGGAGAGGTGATGACCCACGGATAGAACATCCATCGAGAAGGGAGAGTTCAAAAGTCTTAGGAAACACCAACAGTTAATGAGAAGGGCGAAGAGGCTTTAGGGCTGGACTCAGGGCCTGTGGGCCCAGCGCTGCTGCCAAGTATGCCTCAGCCTTGCCAGTCCTCAGGATCTCAGATGCCAAGCTCCCCTGGGAGGGAGTGGGCCGCTGTGTCCTGGAGATGGAGAGGGTGTGAACAGCCATGGTATGTATCTGAATCATCCCCTTCTCTCCTGTGGCCCCTGGCCAGCCTCCTCCTCAAACCAGTATGATGTCAGACCTGGGCTGACCTGAAGGTGTGGGGCTGCCTAATGCATTCCCTCTGGGATGAGGACCTGAGGGGAACCAGCCTGGCCTGGATCCAGAAGCTTGGGTCCTGCTCACAGAGGGTGAGTTGAAGCTGCCTGGGCTTGGTGGGACTGACATGTAAGGCAAGATAATCCTCTGGCTGAGAGAGGAGCTACCAGCATTACCCAATATGTTGTTTTTCCTCTAGGGCTTGGAGAAGAGGGAGGGCAGAGGTGGCAGAGGGCTGGCTTGGAGGTGGGACTGGCATATATTCCCGAGAATACGGTAGATTGTTTTGGAAAAATCCTCTTGGCCGGAAATTACATGTCACGTCTGCTCCTCAGTATGGATTTGTCACTTCACTGATGCTGTTGGAGAGGCTGGGGGAGGGGGGTGAACAGCAGATTCCTGGCTACTCCTGCTCCCTTTTAGAGATATGGGGGCAAGTTACAGACCAGAGAGGTGTGCGAGTGGGCGGGATTCCCCAAATCCTAGAGGCAGGTTGGATCTGTGGATATCTTTATAACAAGATGGCAGGGGGCTTATAGGGGAGGAGGAAGGGAGAGAAAAGCTGGAAGGAGGAATGGTTTGGATCAGACCCTTCACCCAACCAGGAGAAGAAAGAACGGGCCTGGCATTTTCAGCCTCTCTTTCTCCACAGCCATCTGACTCGGGGTTCTTGCAGCTACTCCCAAAACTAGTTTCTGTCGTAGCTGCAGTAAGACGCAGAGGAGCTTCTGCCTCGCATAAACCGCTGCCTGGCAGGGGCATACTTAGGGTTGCGACCGAGCTTGTGAGGAGGGGGAGCCTTATGGAAAACTCACCTAGTGCCCGCCTGGGATCTCGCCTCACTCTTGAGGTTGAGTGTGTGGCCGGGTGTCTCAGCATCTCTCTCCTCCTAAAAGGGGTGAAGTTCCCTGAGCTCAGCCGTAAATACCTGTTACTGTGGAGTCAGTGGATGCTTCAGATGCCAGCAAAATGAGAGGGTGTGCGTTCGCCTCGAAGCCCTTGGGGCTGGCGGGGAGGAGGAGCCTCTGCAATGGGGCTTCCTCTGCTAGCTGTGGCCTCACCTGGATGCTGGGTGACAGTTCGTGGTGGGCAGGTATAGGGGCAGCTCCTCCGGCAGGCAGTGTGGGCACGCGGGGCGCTCTTCGGAGGCCGGAGAGGTCAGCCCCAGCATCTGCCCTGCCCTCGCGTGCGCACAGCCCGGGCTATCTGGGGGAGGGGGCGGGAGGGAAAGGTCAAGCCGGCTACGA